AGTGTGTTTGGAAAAAAAATGTCAATTGAAATATATTTCTGCATTAAGAAAAAAGGTCAGCACTTTCACTTACATTATTCATCCTTATAATTGGTAAAACAAATGTGTGTTTGTAAAAGCAATTTATTGTAATGTTTCCTTTTCAATACAAAAAACTCAGGTTAATATTTTCAAAGGAGCTGTGGGGGAGCTAGATACCCTACGCTCAAGTCTGAAAATCCCAGCCGCAGACTGCAGGGAGCATTAGAATAGCAAGTAACAATGGGCTAACAATCCTTCAGGAAGGGGAAAGGCTATACTAATTCTGCATGTGTTCTTACATTAATCTGCAGGATGTGTAAAGCAGTTTCCCAAAAATAAACCAAACTGCGCTGGATAATAGCTTTGCAGACTATCTGTGAAAGGAAACAAGAGTCTTTTTTTTCCATCAAGGCATCAAATCAAAGTAGTCAGATTCAGAAAAATGGATTTGGGTCCACCTGATTTTAGAACCACATTTCACAGGATTCTTACTTCAGATTTCATGAGGAAAGAAATCAAAGGACTCTTCCTAGAATGTGAAGAATGGTGCCAGAAGTCTCAGGAGTCTGCAAAAATTTCAGTAACTACATTGTTTTTTGTTAGGATTATAAGTAAGCCAGTAAGAGACAGGGTTACACCAGGCTCAGTAATAAGAGGCAGAAGTTAGGGTTACACCATAAAACTTAACCCTGCAACGGGTAGAGAGCAATTTACAATGACATTTAAAGCTCATGAACATATTTGTTATGTGTGTGTGCTCAACTGCCTAGTTAAACTCATTTACAAAATGCGCCTATTGGAGCCTAAGGAAAAAGCCTTTGACCTCTGCACTGTCAAACCCAAGAACTCAGCTTTCTTGTTGGTGTTTTTGTACACACGTTGTTTGAAGTCAGTGCTCCTCTGCATCACAGGAGCATACCGAGAGTGGTTCTGCTACTGTCGGAAAAATCTCAGCCTCATTTTTGCCCTTTCCTGGACAGCAGGTTGTATTTGTGGGATGGTGAGAATTTCTGTTCCTCTGTAGGGGACTTGTACAACTGCAGCTCTCTCACTCCGATAATAGTACCACCACTAGCATCGTCCTTCTAGTAATTTCTTGCTCATTTTAAATATCACCTGCAAGCTGGCTCTGGCAGGGCAGCCAGGCGTGTAACTTACCCAGTACTGCTTCCTTGGCAGAGGAAACCTAAAACTTAACCCTGTTAGGCAATAGGAAACCCCCCAGGAGTAGGCTAAAATACTACGGAACTTGCTAGGGTTATGCTAAAATCTAATGTTAACACGCCAACATTTTAATTGTGAAGGAAATCATTACCATTGAGCATGTGCCAGTGCAGACCCATTCACATTTCAAAAATCTATTAGCAGCAGTGGTTTTGGATACTGTAAAGATCCCACCAATACAACTTTCTAATCATGCCCAGTGATAGATGTAAAGGTCCTTCCCCCCAATTATTCATGCATGTGTAACATCTACTGCAGAGTACTGTCCTGTTGTGAAAAGCAGCAGTGTTAGTAATTGCAATAGGGTTAGTTTATAAAGTATTTTGTTTCATATACTTAATGGATGTGAAATTTACTGGCATATCTAGGCTGCAGCCTCATGCAAGCAAGCAGAAAGCAAAATATTTAAAATGGAATAGAGAGAGAAACTGGCTAGCAGGCAGCTAACTCACCCTTTTGTACAGCCTATGGTCCACCAGAGGGCTTCAGATAGCAAAACAATACCAAAGAGCTATTAGCATACACGTGGCATCAAAGAGACCTTTCAATAGCTTCACTTCAATGGAGAGGTGACAAGGTATGTGTGTGTGCCTGGAGAAAGAAGGGCCCATTCCCCACATGCCACCTGTGTGTTTCCCTCTCTTCACCAGTTAGCAGCAAATCAGAGATCAGCACGTTTTAGGACAGTAAATTCCAATACAAAGTAAAATGAAGACAGATGCTTATTCTGGTAGCATTTCCAGCCCCACCCATCTTCCCTTGCATAAAAGGCTGTCATCTTTCTCCACCCTAATTCCACTGGCTAAGACAGGGCTATGATCCAGACAATAATCATAGCCAAGCAACGCCAACACCAATCCCTCCCAGAAGATCAGATTTTAAATATAAACTGAAGGGGGAAAAAGGCAATAGACTATTATCAGTTTACTGAAAGCTGACAATGTGGATTGCAAGTGGGTGTGCAATCAGGTCTAATTAGAGCAGAGATTGGCACCAGTTTTTCCTGTAGCTCTAAACCAATATTATCTAGGAAACACTGACTAGCTGATGATGGTTGGTAAGCAGTGGTCCCTGCAAACAGAGCACTTGGGGTGGACACCCAGGAGAGATTCAGGTGCTACCCTGCCTGTGTTTCTATTAGTGGTACACATCTGCACTTGCCTTGGTGCACATAAAATTTAGTCCACACAGGGATGAAAAGGTGGGAACTCTGTTGGTGAATCATTAACTACGCAAGCCTTTACTTATGGTCTCATGCAGAGAGACTCTGCTGGAGGGGAGGTCAACAAGCAGAAGGTTTAACCTCAACCTTGAGTCTTAAAACTAAGTCAGTCACAGGCTAACAGGCCTTGGCGTTATCCACCTTCAGAACTATATAGCTGTGCATCTCTTGAAAGGCCTGAACTGTCCCATGCTCTATAACAACCAGATCCAAGGTAAGACATGCTGATAGCATGATATGGCAGCATAATAGTTTTCTTCACATTCCTGAGAATACATAATACATGGAAAAAGAGATATTTTTCCAAGATCTAGAAGAAGAATCTTTGCATGTCCTACCTTAAAAATCTCAGTCACAGATGAGTGTATAGTATCTGCTGGTGGGCATCTATTTGTCTACATGATGTCTGCCCATATTCATATATCATAGCAAAGATATCGTAGCAACTCCAAAACAACCTGCCTTCTTCCACCAATGCATACTTAATTGAAACTCACATTTCTCTTTCTGACCTATGCCACATTCATGCATCAGTTACCAAGGTAACCAAGCAAGACAGCTACCTCGGTCCATACACTGCTGTACTGCTGTTCATTCCACATCAGGTGTGTGTGCTCATCATGTGCACTGGTGCCAGAATTTTTTTCCCTCAGTGGTATCCATAATGGACTATATCTGGCACCCCCATGGTGTAGAGTAAGAAGCACCATCCATCCATCCCTCCTGCCTTCAGCTCCGATGTTGGGGAAGGAGGGCAGGTCGTGGAATGGACATGAGCAGCACATTTTGAAGCACACCAGTTACAGAGACAGGTAACTGCCTGCTCTTCGAGTATTTGCTCATGCACTTTCCATATGAGGTGAGTCCCAAGCAGTGCCAGTGGAGGTGGGTAGGAAGACTGGAACACAGCTCTGCCAAACCCAGCATTGCCTCTGGCTTGCTGAGTGATGGCATAATGCCCTGTGAACACATGCACAGAGCGGCTCTGCAGATGTCCTGGATCATAACGTGTGCCAGGACACTGCCAAGGATGCCTGGGCTCTAATCGAATGTGCTCTTACAACTGGCGGCAGTGGGACCCGAGCCAGCTCATAACATTACCTAATGCAGTGGTGCTCCAGTTAGAGATCCTATGCAAGGACACAGGAAGGCCCCTTCTTTTTTACGCTGTCCGAATGAAAAGCTGTCTCAATCTGTGGAAGAGCTTAGTGTGCTCCAGAGAGAATGCCAAAGAGCCTCTGATGTCTAAGGCAGGAAGTCTCCTCTCCATACTAGTGGTATGTAGCTAGGGCATAAAACACCGGTAGAAAGAGGTCCTGGTTTACATAGAAGATCACCACCACCTTTGGTAGAAAGGGGTCGCAGTTGAATCTTGTCCTTGTAGAAGGCCCTGTACAGTGATTCTGATGTGAGGGCTTTAAGCTCTGATAGACGTCTCAACAGTGCAATCGCCACAAGGAATGTGACCGTCATGACAAGTGGGAAACCAAGAGTTCAGAAGGTCGGCCTGTGAGTTTGTTAAGAACCAAGTTGTGGGGAAGGAGCTCGAGTCAGTGGGAAGAACCTCTCCAGGCCCTTCAGAAAATGGATGGACATGTCATGTGAGAAGACCATCTGATTTTGAATGAGAGGCTGGAAGGGGGAAATGGCAACAGGATGGACATTTAATGGACGAAAGGGTTCTTGGTTCTTAAGGTGGAGCAAGTAATCCAGCATGGATTGCAAAGAAGAGTGTGATGGGGAAGATGTTACAATCAGATGTCCAACAGGAAAATCTCCTCCATGTTGCTCAGGAGCTAGTTAGTGGAAGGTTTCTGCTTTTCAGGAGGATTTGCTGGACCTTGCAGGAGCAGGTTTGTTCTGCCAGATTCAGCCACGCAACATCCATGTGGTGAGTTAAAAGGATGCAGGAAATGCCTATGGTCCTGTGAAAGCAGGTCTGACCAGTGGGGAAGCAGCCAAATCTAGGAGTGTGCTGAACCAGTGCTGATGCATCCACACTGGAACAATCATACTGTGTGCCATCTCTCTCAATCCGTGCTAGGCCTTTCCCGATAAGCAGGGCTTGACAAATAACGTAATCTACTCGCTCGTGGCGAGTCGATTACAACCCGGAAGAGCCGGCGCAGAGCGATCTGAGCATGCGCAGAGCCGCGCGGCCGCCGCTTGGCGAGCCCTGCCGATAAGCATTGTCGGGAATGTGTACGTGAAAGCCTCCAGCCACGACAGAAGAAAGGCATCGGAGAGGGAGTCCTTTCCTATACCGTGAAGGGAAGAGAAGGGGTAACATTTCCTGTTGTGTCTGGTGGCGAATAGGCCCACGCACGGAGCTCTCCACCTCCGGAAGAATGTTTGAGCTACGTCAAGATGGAGCAACCACTTGTGGGGAAAGGGAAAGGACCACTAGCATGTTCCTGGCACCATGTGATACACCTCAAGGTGGATTGTGTGAGCAATGCAGAAATCCCACAACGGGAGGGCCTGTTGGCAGAGAGTTAACGAGCATGCTTCCCCTTGCCTATTGGTGTGTAATACTGAGTCTGTTGTCCATTGCCACTTTGCCTGAAAGAGCTCGCAGGCTAAGCAGACCGCTCCAAGTTCTCTGACATTGATGTGCAACATCTTCTCTTCTGAATACCACTTGCCTTGGGTCTGGAGGTCACAGATGCGTTCCCAAGCCAAGATCCGAGACATCCAAATTCAGGCTGATTGAGTGAAGTTACAGAACAGAAAAACCACTGTGGGACTGGTCCATCATTACAGCAAAAGTGAATGTTGTGGGCAGAATGGTGACAATCTTTTGCAGGTGGTCTGTGGACTGGGAATCAGTGGCCACATCTAAAGTCTGTCATGCCGGATGACATTGGCGCATGCAGCCATATGGTCTAAGAGGTGTAGACATATCCTGGCCGCAGTCAGGCGAGATGCGGTGAGCTCTGTGACAAGGACCCACCATGGTGTGGAATCTCTCCCGTAAGAGAAACGCTCTGGGGACAGTGAAGTCCAGCACTGCTCCAATGAACTCTCGACAAGGAGTCCTGTAGCACCTTATAGACTAACAGATGTATTGGAGCATACGCTTTCGTGGGCAAAGACCCACTTCATCACTACATGCATCTGACAAAGTGGGTCTTTGCCATCAAAGGAGGAAAAAGGAAAGTTGGTTGGAAAAAATGGGAAAGGTTAATCATGGAGATAGTCTGGAACGTTGCTCTCAGGCAGACCCTCAAGATGACTTCTTGGCCCTCTGCTTGGTGCAGGTCGAGCCTGACGGAGGTGAGGGTTAGGGATATAAAATCCCATTTAATTGGTTAACCGGTTAAATGTGAAGTGAGCGTAGCTTAGTGTTCATTTGCTCCACAAACAGGACCTGGCTGTTGATCCTACACTGACTGCTGAGCTTCTGTCGACAATCCAGAGGGGGGCAGCTAGGAAGCTTGCCTTGTGGTAATGGCTGAAGCCATAGCACAGACCATGGAGTCTACCACGTCCAACTGTGCCTGGAGGGCCACCCTCTTTACAACTATGTCCTCATCAAGTGTTGCCCAGAGTTTTGGCCTGCACCCTTTGGGAAGCGAAGCATTGAAATTTAGCTATGGCATGTTGCAGGTTATAATCATAGTGGCTAAGGAGTGCTTGGGGGTTGGTTACCCTGAGCTGGAGCCTGGAAGACAATAAACCTTTTGACCAAATAAATCCAGTCTCCTAGAGTCTTTATTTTTAGGGGTATCCATGGGCTGTCCCTGCCTTGCTCTTTGGCTACCTGCCTCTACAACAAAGGAGTTCAGGGCTGGGTGGTTGTAAGAAGTACCCTTGACTGATGGCTAGTCCAAAGTATTTATGTTCAGAAGGCTTATAAGTGGGGGGCATGGCGGAGGGGATTTGCACAGGGCAGTAATAATCTTTGACGCCCCCTCATGTCGGGGCAACACCACCCAAGCGGGTGAAGTGGTGCACAGAATGTCCAAGAATGAGGCAGATGGCTTCTCAAGCTCTTCTGCTTGGAGCCCCAGATTGGAGGCAACCTTCTTGAACAGCTCCTGATAAGCCCTGCCCTCACCCCTTGGACCTGGATGAGGGGGAGCAGTGATGGCTCCATCTGGTAATGAGCCTGTATTGCCGATTCCTCAATGACGCCTGAGAGTCCTGCTGGCAGCTCCCCAGGGTCTGCTGGGCCTGGGGAGGGAATTCCTCTGGAGCCTCCACTTCCATAGGAGGCTGCAATGCTATGGCTGAGGCCCTCTCTGAAGCTCCTGCTACC